TTTCTACTTTGTTAAAATTATTAAAAGTGATGAGATAATCAGTGTATCTGAAAGTACATTGCAGAACAAATTATATTATTTGGGTGTATTATTGAAAAGTTTTGATTGGAAAGTTTGATGTAATAAAAAAGCGGATAGGTGTATATGTATCACAGTTTGACTATAGAAAATACTATTAAGCTTCTGGGAATATCACAGTAACTTAGCAAGTCTTGTGGAAACATGCACAAAGTAATCACCGAATGAGATTAACAAAGGAGTTTTAATCAGGGGTGCAAGTGGCGCCTCCGCTTCCTTGCCATTCTGGGAGGAGTAAATCTATGCAAAGCCTGTGAAATCGACATTAAAACAGCAAAAATTAGACCTCAAAGAACACAAATATTACCATCTTAGGAAGCTGCCTACTCAAACTTAAGTACATTAGTGATTTTAACTGAAGTTAAAAATAATAAGTTATTCTTTCTTATTAGCGAACTGAAAACATCAGCGCTTGAAAATACAAACAAAAATTTCAACTACTTAGTAGCATCAAAACAGTAGCACTGAAACATCCCGAAAGGACATTTCGTCTTTTCTATACGGCGTCCAAATAAACAAAGTAAAGGGAAGTTTATTCCGCAACATCAACGTTGGCGGTTTTATGGCAACCGAACGTTCCATAGCACTCTGGCTTCCTTATTTCTTAAACTTTAAAAAACATTTTGTCAGCTTTTATGTCGCTGAGCGTTTATAAGCCTCCGCCCAAAGAACCGCATGTTACTTGACATTTTCTTACTCTGTGCAAGATTCTTGCGTTGTGTGGGTGTTAAAACCCATGCTATTTACGTGCTTCAATAAGCCAAATAGTGTTTGCTACACATGCGGAAAATTACATTTAAGTCTAAAAAACATGCCATTACTCCTGAAAAAAGAAAAGCCTCCTTCTTGTATTTTGGATACAAATTTGGAAGCTAAGAATAATAAAAGTAATCACTTATGCCGAAACCTCGAAAACGAGGGAAACTTATTACTTATGTATGTTAAAATGCACATAAATTTCGCTGTAATTTCTAAACAAGAATCCATATTCTGAAAGTGAAATTTATTAAGAAAAATAATATTTCATCTCTGTAACAAAAAAAAGTGAACATTTGTAGAACAGAATAATTAAATATGATGAAAACATATTGTACGTATAATAACTTTTCCCCTTCATATTTCATTATTCTAACTCGGCCTTTATTGATTATTTCACATATTTTAAAGATCATACTTCACAGTAATCGAATTAAATTGACTTGCATTTAATCGTATTTTCTGCGCAAGAGTATAATTAGCAGTTTTCTATTTTATTATTTTCTTCCACAAAAATACTTCAATATATTTCATTCAGTTTTCATCTTATTCAATGCCTAATTGTAATTTTATAATTATATACCATCATACTACAGTACTCTTAGGATAACTGTTAGTGTTTATTACTTGCGTCAATCTATATTTGTTGTAGACCCACCAACGGCAGAGGTGTAAAGTCGTTGAACACTGTTCGATGTAGTTTCCATTCCAGGTGAATGGGCCTACCGAATTGATTTCTCGCGGATTTACCCATGTATAACGTGGATGCAACCCAAATGTTTTTAAACCATCTTCCAAGAAGACGTTTCTCCACTTTAAGCCAAAACCAATTCATTCTTTCATTTACACTGCTTATTAGTGTGTCCCGTATTTACATCCCACCTGGTTCTGAACACGAATATTGCGAGATGAAAGACTAAAAAGGAAAAGGTAATTCAGTCAATGGTTAATTTTAATTTATTGCAACAAAACATAGGAAAGCTGAATCTGGATTGAAAGGTTTGTATTCTATAGGGAGACAATGAGTGTTTAAAGAAAGAGTTAACAAAAAATACTCTCACCTTATTTTCTGCGTATTGGTTTAAAGTACTAATGTTTAATAATATTTTTCTGTTAGCTTATAATTCTAGAATGAATATCAAGTACAGGTTTAGAGAGGTCTTTAAAGAGGCACTGATGCATAATAGGTTAACAGAATGAAAAACATTTAAATTGTTAATCTTGAAAGAGTTTCCATTATGAAACTTTGTAAAAGCAATGAATATATTTCTAAATTACAACTTTACAAGTGGTTTTTAAGTGGTTAATTATTGGCAGGTAATTTGTGATAATTGCTAAATTAACTGAGATTAGTTGCGTAGATTAGAATATTTCTATAAAAATGAATATGCATCACATCAAATCTTTCTTAGTTCTTTAATCGAAATCAAAGCGTAGTATTTCACCTGTTTCATTCATTATCTTTGAAATGTGTTGTAGGCTTACTGTTGTTTGCAAATATTATTATGTGACAGCATTTTCAATAATACCATAAACAAATCTGGAAACATAATAAGTTCCCATTATGAAACGTTAAGTCAGAAAGCTTGGGTACTACGAAAATTTACCAGTAGTGAAAACCACTTTAAAAATTAAAACAATAAAAATATTTAAAAGTATTTTTGCTACTACTACGTTTTTGTAGCATCTAAGCTTTCTGATCAATGTTAGCTTAATGAGTAATGTACCAATGTTTAAAGTACTCAAGTTTTCTGAGTAATGCTACTTACATCCTTATAAGTAATATACAAGTTTCTTAAAAGCAAATTTAGCAAAATTTCCTACTAGCAAGTAAAATTTCTAAGATGCAAGATGTTAGGAAGAATTGAGGAACTAAACATTATTTTTATAATATTTAATTTCTGAAATCTAAATATTTCTAACGAAAAAACTTACTGAATTACGACTTTAAAGGATAATGGCTCAATGAATCTTCTGTAGCAAATAATGAGAGCCACAAGTGTAAACGTAATTTAGACATCCTTCCATGAAATCGTAGGGGCTCATCTATCTGAGTTAGCCCTCCAATGCTACAGAAGGAAAAGACAGTTTTATTTAACCTTAAGCGAACATTTGCTTAAAACATTTTTGTAAAACACCTAGCAAAGCATCGCAGCCTTATGAAAATGCAGTGAAAACAAGCAGTATCACATAAACTTTAGCAGAAGTATTTCCGTCTTTTTTGATGAAAAGAAAAAAAAACAAGAGCTAGCAGCGAAGATCTCTCCTTGAACAACTTTCGATGAATCGAGCATGGCCTTTACCAACGTCTAAGCAGCATTAAACTCAGACATTTCGAATGATCTTTCAGTAAGAGACACTGGATATCCGGAAATTGCATCACAAAAAGGGCGTCAAAAGTGCAGGAAAAAATTCTCTAAGCATACTAGGAGAATCGGAATGTCTCTGTAATCGCTCCAACCCCGAAGAAAGTACAAAACTAACGCCAAGTCGAAAAATAGCATAAGCATAAAATTCTGAATCTACTGAAAGTAAACAGAATCACAGATTTCAATGTAATGAACATTTAAATAACTAGTGAATGTTTTTGACTCTATTTAAACAAGTTTTAATATACAAAATTTTAACTAACATTATTTGTTCTGTTCAGAATACCTATTTCATATATTTAAAATGTTATTTACATAGAGTATTTTATAAATTTTTATAAAGTAATATCTGTTAGGTACTTATTTATTTATTTAATATTTCTGATAAAATATTCCCTACCTATATTTGTGCTCAATTCATAAGTTTCTTAACATACAGGTATTAGCAAATTTGTAACACGTACTTACGCTTCAGTACTTTTACTGCCATCTTTAGAACTCTAAAGTCTTGAACAGGATAAATCCATTACACAATAATAGTATCACTGATTGCCGCTTTTCTTACACAAACACCCCAGCAGAAAATCAAAATTGTCTGGAATGTCTAAATAGTAGGTAATTATCTTAGGGAGGATTTACTCTAAAGATAAAAAATTGCAAAGTAAAAAAAGAAAAATATTTGTAAAGCTGAGAAAGCAAATATGTAAGCAGTTAAATGACAATATGTAAAATAGCCGAAATTTTGCGCAAGAGACTGGTGAAGGTGAAATTAAACATGGAGAGGAAATAAGTGCTAAATCAAGATGTATATTGATTTAAAATCACTAAGCTATACGGTGCTGATGGTGAAATTAGAAAACATGGAGAGACTGCTAAGGGTTAATTTAGAAACCATGGAGACAAAAGTACGAAATCAACACATATATTAATTTAAAAGCACTAAACTATACGGTACGTAACGCGCATATAAACTAAGGACATAAATGATGTACTGATGTTAATATGCAGTATGAGAAAATGTATGGATTACTTACTAAAATTAAGAAACGCTTGGTATATTCTGGACGTAGACAAAAACTGAAAAGCACAAAGAAGAGAAAGTATTATTTGCCATTAGAAGCCATTAGAAGGCTTCTAGCCATTAGAAGGCTTAGAAGAGAAAACGTTAATGTAGTATTGGTTTCAATACAGAAAGTAATGACATAAATCAGAAGAATGTGCAAGAAAACTAACAATTTCCTTGAGTCACATTTACGTACAAGAAAAATTCAAGATAATGAGATGATGGCAGCAAAGAAATCGGACACTAAGGCAGAAAAAACTTCAGTATTTGAAAGCCGAAAGAAGGAACTTGATATGTATAGCAATAGAGATACATTTTTTCCCAAAATATATGAACTTATTATCTAGTGCAATGGTTTTCGACCTGATTTTGTCCCGTGCACAACTTTCATTAGTGCAAAAAAATCATTCTTCCACGCTCATTTATTTAGATTAAGATTATTTTTAAAGTGTTTTATAAATTAAACAACAAAAATTATAGAAAATGTTGACAAATACCAAACTTGAATAAAAATAGGTTTTTGTAACCAAAAATTAAATACTTAACAGCTGAATAAAAGACAGACAGCATTCCCCCACCCCACCAGAAACTATACAGTAAACATGGCAAAGTAAGTTTGCAGTTTACTCCTGGGAGGGAATTTCTCCCTGGTTGAAAACTCCTTAAGTAAAGATTTTCTAAAATAATAATAATTATAATAATTTGCTGAGAAGTATTTTCTACAAACAACTACATCAGATTTAATACATTTATTTCTCTTCCCACGAAATGAATAATTATTATATGAAACTGAGTGTGAAAGAATACTTTTTCCGTTCAATAGATAAAAAATATCTTGAAATAATATAACCAACAATTCAGAAGTTTCTTTTACATCTTCAACCAACATTTTTTTTTTCTTTTCCTTTACTCAAAACTCTATATGCACAGATTTTTTAGCATATCTGGTTGAATTTTCACATGAAGAAATGAAATTAAATTAGTAGATGCGTTCTTCTTCAGTTTTAGGATTTCTTATTTAACTATCTTATCAATCCAAGATCTGTAGGCAGATATTCTCATGTAGACGCCTGGAAGGTTGGGGTCTGCACATCGAATACCATGCGAAACGGTTCCAGCTAATACCCATTGACCATTTTCTCTCTCGACCATAAGTGGACCTCCAGAATCACCCTGAAAAATAATTTTAAATAAAATTTTAATTTATTTTGCCTGTTTTATGAATATTCTATCATATTTTTAAACTGTACATTAATATACAAAATATGTGCCATAGCTCTAACAAATATTAAAAGATGTGTTACTATTTATCGGAAATCTTCTTTCCCTATTTCAAATAGTTAAATCTGTATACATTAAAAATGTAACTTCGAAATATCGCATGTTACAAAAGCTTACAAACTGGAGCCTCTCAAACAGAATTTAATATTTAAAAATCATATTTAGATCGTAAATACAGAATAATTGCTAACATGCAAAGACTTTAACACACATCTTCTGAATTAACATTTGACAATATGTTTGATCATTGAAAGTAAAGATAAATAGAACAGAAATAGACAAATTAATTTTCATAGAACTGTCTAAGATCATCTAGAATTTCAAAAGCCGAAATAACCGTTAAGACTGTGCTTTCAAATGCTCTGTAGCCAAGCGCGTAACATCTCAAAGCACTAAATTAGCCTCATCCGATATCTTGCCTTTAATATCTGATACTCCCCCCCCTTGTGTTCGAGGGTAAATCTACACAGCTCCTTCTGGCGACTCATTGTCGCAGGGAATGATTCAGTGAGGGTTTGAACAGCGACTAGATAACTGTACGATTACCGTAGGTGTGGGCACTCATTAAAATACATGCCAGAGCTGCACGATATCCTACAGACGTGCACCTTTGGCGTTTATGGATGGCATTATATATATATATATATATATATATATATATATATATATATATATATTAAATACTATAAGACTTATTACTGAGCAAATATAATTTGTAAACAAAAAGTGCCTCTTCGGATTGCTACCTTTATCAGATCGGCAGAAAGAGCAGAAATCCGTCACGTTGCTCATAGGGTAAAAGGCAGCTGCTTTAAGTTTTAATTCACATCACATATTTTCTCTCTCTCTCTCTGTATAATGTAGATATAAAGCAGCTTTCCTGAAAATATTTTTAAAGAAAGCCATAATCAATTATCCAAACGGAAATTGATCTAAATGACCTAAGAATATTTATGCTTACTGTTTTGTTGTTTTTGCTGGTTTATCTCGATAAGGCAAAGCATATTAAGGCTACTCTTTGAAGGCAGGGATGTCTTAAGGATTTCCTGAGGGAAAACGGCTTGTATCCACGTTACAAGTGGAGAAAACACGAAAACGCCCAAGCAGCCAGCTCACTCGCCTGAAATTAAACACAAGTCGAACTACCTGTGTTCAGCGACTTTTACGCTCAGATGGTGCTGGGCTACGGTCTTTAAAACTGTAAGAAATATCAGGAGTATCTGAGTTGAGCTTTGTCATATTAAGCCTTTTCCTCACTTTACCTGTGTTTTGCAATTTATTAATCGTTCATGACTTGAATTTTAACGCTTTAGCGGTTACTTGCTACACTAATCGAAAGTATGAAATTTAGACCTAGATTTATTTCTAATTCACTTACCAACTTTCTCGACCCGAAAGGAAAACTGAGCGCTAGACGAGATATCAGTATCTAGTGAGTTGAGACGCTCTGCCGCGGCTAATTTAAACTGAATCTTATATAACACAGATGGTTTTTTTTTAATGATTACTTCTTGCTTTTATTCTAAGCCTTTAGCTTAAAAGATGTCTTTTCTGCTTGTTATCAGAGCTTTAAAACCAAGTATTAAATACAGCAATAACGGGAGTTTTATTTTAAAAATTAGCCAGATGATTTTCTGTTGTTTTGTGTTTTACTCAGTTCGGGATATTAACAGTTCCCATTTAAGTTGCGTATCACATGATTTAACTTTATTTACGCAACTGTCAAGTCGTATGATATAATAATAAAAGTTATTACATTAGCATACGATTTAGTAATATATTAGCATAAGATTTAGTAATGCATTAGCATGATATTTACTAATAATATAGCATAATATTTACTATGCAATATAACGTAATATTTACTATTACTAATTATATAACATAATAATGGAATAATATTTAGTAAAACATAATTATTATAGCATATTTCTAATTATAAAAAATTCGATTTAATAATGCATTTTTCTCAATAACATTTTTAAAAGCTAATCAGTCACTGAGCTTGGATCTAAATTTCGGATTATAATTTCATGTACTCGAAAGATAACTGATATTCAAGAGCTGAGAGAAAAGCAGATTTTCTGAATGCAGAAGTAAAAAAAAATAATAATAAACCTTAAATGCAATGATGTGACATAAGAGTCGCAGAAATATACTTTCTTACAAAAATATGAATTTGCCTTCAAAATGTTTCGAATATCAATAACATTGCTACACTACTAAAAATGTTTTAATTATACATTTATAGTTAAAGCAAGCATTTCTTAAGGGTGTATTAGTTCTCAGAAGCAAGAAAGGTTATAAAGCAACGATACTATCACCGGAATTTGGAACCTGAAAAATGTGCAGTGCCTTGACCGGGATTCAAACCTGGACTTCTCGAATATACGCCAAGTGTACTTGTTACACCACAAAGGCGTGCTGGGGGGAGGGAGAAAATACCTTATATCGTTACAGAACCAAGTTACTTATAAAGCCTTTCTGAAGCAATAATAAATTTACAAATTTGTTACGAATTATAAAAAAAAATAATTTATCTGTTTCAGAACAATTATCGAAAAAAATTTATGCACTGAAACTATTCAGCCACATTATATGAATACTTCATTCATAGTCAACTAAAATAACTGTATTTAAAGTACCATAGAGCAGTTTTAGTTTTATTAAATTGTTTTTTCTCCCGCATCTCATTCGTACAAGATTCCGTCTTTTATTCTCTTATCTCTTCTAGATGGTCCTTGGAATTTACATCTGAATTCAATGTACTTTTCAAAATCAGAATTGCCCTACTTTGAATCTAACGCTCTAATTGCATCCCCGCAAAGGTGTTTTCTATTTACTAAAGAAAATGTTTCGCGAGGACTCGCAGACTAAAAGAAGTAAATAAACAAAGAAAAGAAAAGAAAGCAGAAAAAGATAATTGCTTTGGAAAAGATTCACTTTTATAAAGAAGAAAGATAATGCAAAATATTCTACAAATGCATAGAATACAACATTAAATTCCTTTTTTAAAAAGAATACACCTGGAATATTGATGAAGTGCAATTTTTATACCACATTAAACGATTAGTTCTAAAGTATTTCAGTAAATGGAATTTTTCATCATTTATTCAAAATCGACAATTCACTGTGTTTTGAAAACGTTTTAAAAAATCTGTTTTTAAACTTTTAGAATAAAATGTTGTTTATCTGTTCATAAATCCCTTAAATGTCATGTTGTACCATCATTTATCGTATATTTCCGCAGATAAGACGACGGATGAATCGTAAAAAAAGGCAACAAAATCCGGGACTGTCTTAAAATATTTTTAAAAATTAAATTGAAATTTATATAAATTAAAACCATTACAAAACAAATCACTCACCAATGCATTTAAAATCCTGACATTCGTCATCTAAGAGAAATAGCTCCTCAATTGTATCCTCACTTTCATTGTTGTGAATTCGTTATAGAAGTGCTATTCTGTACCTAGCAAATCGTTTTCCGCTTCGTCATCAGTATTCCATAACCAATCGTCCCCAGTATCATCCACAGGATTAGAAATACAACACATTTTGAAGGCTTCAGTCACTGTTTCCACTTTCGCTTTTCCCATGGTTTGATTACGAAATCACACAGCACATCAAGTGACGCAGCCCGCATAGCTCTCGCCTTTAGCGTACGATTTTCGGCGTTCAACACCCAGTTACTTCATTGCTCACGCATGTAATGTTTCAATGGTTTAGTCAAAGAGTCGTCTAAAGTTAAATCATTTGGTGTGTAGTAATATTAGTATTGTTTCATGCTAAGCGAATTTAATGTTCTCAGTTATGTGGTTACGAAACATGTGCCACACCAACAATCTGTGTGATTTCGTAGAGTACCTGGCCACCCCTACCACATCTTTTCCTTCCACAATTTTACACTGTTCTCGTTCAAGCAACCCTTTTCATTAAAATATATGAAAATTTCTCGCGAGAATTTTATTTTAGAAGTAATTTTTCTCTTAAATGTCACCATGGATTTTTAACTTTGTTCCTTCTGCCATGTATGTTAATACTTCTGTACATTTAGTGTTTTTATGGCCTATACTTATGACTTGAACAGTTTTATGCCTTTCGTTTCCACAACTCTATTGCTTACAAGTCGACGTTCATCTGCGTTTCATCTATATTTCCAATATTAGCGAATACAAAATGTATTTCTGCTTCATACCAATAACAAATTTGTATAAACTCGTGATTTTATGGTCAAGCTCCTGTGGTAATTTCTGCGGAATCTTTATTTCTGTCGTATTGCCAGATTTTTTTTTTCTGTTCGTGAAACAATTTCACCAATCTACTGTTGCTTTAAACTTTGTGCCTTGTTCTGGACTGGCCAGTGCCGTCTTCAATGCATAAACTCCAGCAGAACAATTCTGCCTTTGTTTTTAAAACCTATTCTACAACGCCATATTCTAAATCTGCTATTCCTCTCCTTATAGAAACCTTTTTCATTGGCAATTTTTAATAGCATCTTCATTCTTTCGTCAAGCTTTTACCATTTTCTCTGTTGGATTGAGAGCTCTTGCTGCAGCACAGTTCTTTAAGTCTTTAGCGTGTTATAGCATGACTTTTAACTTGAAGCTTGCTTCATATTTCTTCTCTTCATTGTAAAATATTTCTTCTCTTCATTGTCATTAACGTCATATTTGTAAAATGTGGCCGATTAGGGCCACATTTTACAAATATGACACTAATTAGTGCAAATTGTTTGAACACACGACACAACCTATAATGAAACTTGTTAGAGGTACCTTAGAGGTCATGACTGGGCAGGTACTTCAAAAGATAGTGTTCGTAGACGGAGAAAAAATTTTTGTTTAGAGTTACATTTGAGTTCGCGATTCGGTTCTTGTTCCTATAGCTAA